AAAAAAAAAAAAAAAAAAAAAACAAGATTGCAAAAATAAATAAATAAATAGCAATTTCAGCAAAATGGAAAAATTATCCCTTTAAATTACAAAACATGAAAAGATACAAACCATAAACACATACATTGTCTTACTTTCTCCTTGCTGAGACAAAATACCCAACACCCAAATTTAAATGAGGAAAGGTTTATCTCAGCTCACAGTTCATAGATGCTTCAGTCCATAGTTTGTTGACTCCAAGGCAGAGTGGCATGGCAGAGGGGCATTGCAGAGGAGAAGCAGTGCCTGGCTGCCAGAAAGCAGCAAAGCAGTGAAGTAGCAAGTAGTAAGCAGCAAGCAATGACAGCCCTCTTTCTGTCCCTTATATTCTATCCAGGGTGGGACACCTTTAATCCTAGCATTACACCATTAATCTCAGCATCACATCTTTAATCCCATCATCACACACCCCAGATCCAGCCACAGGGGTAAAGCCCCAACTGTGACCACATGAGGGTATAGGGGAACATCTAGATAGAAGCCATGACATACAGGAACCAGTGTCTACATGGCAAAAGAAGGAATTAACAAGAAAATCCAAAAGTTCCAAGTGGTATTCACTAGAACTTCACAAGCCTATTTGAAGGTAGGCATGAAAGCACAAATGATTTTACTCAGTCCAAGAGGAAATAATGCAAGCAGTTCTTGAAAAGTTCTAAAAGGGGATAAAACAATTTGTAACACATGAATTTTCAAAAGCAACCAATCAAATCTCCATTTCAGGACAGGTCCCAAAGTAAAAAGAAACTGTTAGATGTGAAAATCAAAATTAAGCAGTGAAGGTTGACTACAAAGGAAAGATATTCCAAGCAAAGTGGAAAGAGTAACACAGTCAGGATAACTTCATGAAGGGAAAAAACCCCACTTTTTTTCAAGTACTGATCTTGATGTTAATTTCTTTGTGCACTGTCAATTTAATTCATTATTATCACTCTCAAATATCTACCATTCTTTAACATATAAAGGATTTGATATTTCTAAGGTTTAATTGATGCATAAGTAGTAGGAATACCCAACAGCACTACAACAAATTTAGATGGGCAAAACGTATATTGGAAGCTAGTACAACAGAATTTTCTTATGGTTTGCTTGCCCTTTGTGGGTCCATATTATTTATCCTTAGGAAAAAAATCATAGTTTAAGCGACATACGCAAACTAAAAACATACACAAAATTATCCACAATTTTGCACATTTTTTCAAAAAATATTTGATTATATAAAGTAGAGAAGGCCCTACAAACTATAGTTATTAAGTAAAACACTAAAAATATTATAAAACTCGAATTATTTATATGATTTATCTGTACCTATTAATAACAAAGTAAAAAAATTAAAAGTTTTCCCAAGGGATATAAATACTATTTTGCTTTCAGCATGTATTCTGAGGATGAACTAGGACACTGTTATTACAGAGGTGATAGCACTTAAACCTCGCATAATTAACATAATTTTCTAAATTGTCATACTGTGCAGTTCCTCACAATTTAAGTTCCAACATAACTCTTGAATATTAAAATACCAATTGGAGATGTTTACCAACTTTTGGCACAGATAATACTATCCTACTTTTCAAAATTAGGAGTGTAATAGGATAAACATGATAGGAGAGGGCTTTGTAAAAGTGACATCTGAAATATAGACCACTTTGAAAACTAAATCAAGGGACACCTTAATGTAAATACTCTTTTACCAAATGAAGTTAAACAATAAATATAGACTCAGCACAAACATACCACCCGGGTGCTATGACCTCAGGTAAAATAGCTTTTCATGTTGGCTTTTCAACAGGAGAGTCAGTGTTATATATCCTGTAAATCTTTCAAAATGCTTCTTGAGACTTTCTGTAGAAAATTCCGTAAGAGACAATCTACAGAAAACCCTGCCTGAGTACATCATGAGACATAAGATCTAAAAAATAATACTGGACTGATTCTGGAAACAAAAGGCAGATATTAGGAAGATTTGGTAGAATTGATAAGCAAGGCCAAGTTGACACTGACTCAATCAAAGTCCCTTTTGCTGTGGTTTGAATATTACCCCAGTGCTCATGGTTGGGAATAAAAAACCTCAAATTCCTATGTTGATGGTATTTGGAGTTGATGTCTTTGGGAAGTAATAAGGGTGAAAAGAGGTAATGAGGGTACAGCTCAAATGACAGGATTAATAGCTTTATAAGACAAGAAAGAGAAACCTGAGCTCACAGGCTGCCTCTCTCTCAATGTTAGTTTCTTTCTTGAAAAAATTTTCAGAGATGAAAACATTGCCCTTTGATTGGCTAGAAACAACAGCTAACTCCTCTTGTCCTCCATCACTTTATAATATACGTATTCAAAATTAGTCCTAGCATACCTACAATTATATATGAAGAGTTCAGATCATTATAAAAAGTCCTGGATAGACTTTATAATTCAAAACAGTACACCAAGAAGTTTTCACCTTTCAATGGAGCATGAAATCATGCTGAAAAGAGTATAAATGATAAATTAGAAGTGAAATGGAAGCCTAACATTAACACCATATACAGCATAACTCCTCTCTTAGACTAGGGTCCTCTCATTTTAACTACTGCTTAGGGAAGAGTTAAAATTTGGTTTAAGAGGATGAATTGGGTTCAGGGGGTATGGCACACTAGTAGAGCACATACCTAACATACATCAG